TTAAGTAAACAGGCTAACGGTAGGAATTCTTACATTTCTCAAGGGTATCAAAGCCATGGTTTTAAAACTTAGTTGTGTTTGTGAGATCCTCGAATTCCGAACAAAATTAGTGAGCCTTGTGAGATGAGTCCCTAGATTGGACAAATAGTGCTTGAGATGTGGCAAGAGCTCTATCGAATCAAATGGCTTTGGATGGAGAGTAGTCCTATCAGGACGGGTAGACTAATAGGTAGACTCTATCTTTGTTCGAGGGGAGGAGATTAAGGGCGCGATGGTGGTTGACACCAAGTATATCCCACAATGAGTATCCATGGTTGTGTTCAATTTGGCTTTGCTTTGGGGCTTGATAAGAGCAAACTCTCACAGGCAATCGGGGGTGAACAGATGAAGGGAGGCTCAAGGTGGTACTTTGTTAGAGAAGAGGATTGTTAGGTGCAAACAAAGTTTCACACTAGTTAAGGAAAAGAGAGATCCATGATATATAAATAAGGACAATTATCCCCGTTAGTACGAGAGCTTTTGGTTATTTCCAAAACAAAATCACGAGGATTCATGCCTGAAGTAGACAATATTAAGCCATTAGGGAAATATTTGGAGAGTCCGTTATCGTTGGACGACCAAATTCTTGATTAGATGTTGGACATCTAAAGATGTTAGGTATCCATCCTTGAAAGCAGATGACCTCTTTTAAGGTCTTCCAACTATCCTTTGGTGGCCAAAGTGGGATTTCGAGCACCTTCGATAAAATCTTATACGATCCTTCACCAAAGCTAAATGGCATAGACCACTTCAGTTGGTTTCATCATTTCTTATAGTCAAGATTCATTACATCCCTGATCTTTCATCGATCTAAGCACTTCTAATGGAGCATACACTTCAACTGAAATTGATTTTCTGACCAAACTGAAACCAAAAACAAAAACTGGAAAGGAAATAAGGAATGAGAAACCGAGTGACTCCAAGTACTGGTTGAAAACTGAACCAATTGAACCAACAGTTGAGAGATTGAAGGTCCAACAGGATCGAGGCAGGTCGGACAACTCACGGAATATCAGATTGATTTAGGGACATAAATAGTGTTACCGAGAATAGAAAGTACTGAAAGCCAAATAGGGTCGAAAGTTGGACTATTCCCTTACTTAAAGGCAAGCAAGCCCTAAAGTAAAGGGAAGGAAAGGGCTTCGCCAAACTCCATCGACTTCCGGAAGAAATCGAAGAATTTCTCGGGAATCCCACATATCCATTCGTTCTTTTTTGCTCTCCAGCCTCACTCGCGGCTCAGGATAGACAAGAGCAAAGCATACATGTTCTTTAGGACTAAGTAGCACAAACCACAAAAAGAAGAGGGAAATGGAATTGACAAGAAGGACTAAGTTCCATACAACCTCTCAAAGGCAAGCCAATCAATCCAAGGGGTAATCAAGTCATAGCCAGAAGAGGTTATGATATTGAAGTCCTAGTTTGCAGAGGTCAGCCAGGAGTAAGAAACAGGAAAAAGATCATTGCTCTATCAGAACTCAAAATTCATCAGTCACGGATCCAAATTTCAAATTACACTATTCTCTGTCATTATAAAAACTAATTCGATCAACCACGACTTCGACAACAATAAATTTAAACAGCTTGATCAAATAGTTCAAAGAAGTTCCATGATTATTAATCAAACACACGAACAACATGGATTTGAATCCAAGGGATTCAAACCCATCACTTAAACTATGAACAATTCAACAATTCCATCAAAACCCAAACTCCAAATTAGAAAAAACAGAATCCCGAAAATCCCAATAAACCCAATAAACCCAACAACGATCCAGTAATCAAAGAAACGAAGATCGAAATCAAAAGATAAAAACCCAGAAAGGAAAGGAAAAGGAGAGAAGAAAATTAGGGTTTTGAAGAACTCACCAACCACCCTGGATCCTTCAGAGCCCATGAAGCATAGAATAACAGAGAGAGAGAGAGAGAGAGAGAGAGAGGTTTAGAAAGTTTCTAGATGAATGAAAGAATTAAGAAAGAGGGAGGAGAGAGAGATGGAGAAAGTAAAAGAGTTGGGTTTGAGAAACGGGTGAGTAGTGATATTAAGCCCAAGCGGCCATAATACTTTAGGGATCAAAAAGCCTCAAAAGAAAAAAAAAAAAAAAAACCCGCCATCGCTGAATGACCGCTGTTTTCTCCCTGTTTAAGTGGCAGAAGAAGGACGCAGTCCGTAGTACCCCTCTATGGACTTGTCCATGCCTCTTAGTCCACATGGCTGTTCTCGTAAATATTAAGGATCTCATAAATTGAATATTATTTTAATTTCGGTGGATGGAATTTGGTGATTCCATTCTTATTCGTTGAGCTGAAAAAAAGATTTAATTTCATTAAAATAACTCATGACTAGTTGTCTATTCCTCCTCCCTGAGTTATATGCTAGTCGTGGTGTGTCTATTCCTCCTCCGTAAGTTATATGCTAGTCGTGGTGCTTCTTTCTTTACATGAAGTTGTGTTGTCTCTTTGTGTTCGACGTTTTCTTAGTTGGGAGAACAACGTTTCAAATTACATGGATAACATAACTAGTTTGCATACATGGAAATAATTGGGTTTGGAAAGTAACGTTTCAAGTTACTAACGTGGATAATAGGACATGCACCAATTAAATCAATTGAATCAAAACTCTCGACTCGATACACTTGATGACATAGGCATGCACCATCCATGACAATGTCTTCATACATTCTCCCACCAAATATTTGGGAAAAATAAAGATTAATAAAAGGAAGAAAAAAAAAACAAAAAAAGAGGAATAAATCCCAACCCTAATTAGCGCCATTCATCCTCTTTGTTAATCTCTCTCTCTCTCTATATAATTACGAATTAACGAACTGTAACCCATCTGAAATCCCCAGTTTCCTTCACCGCTTCAATTTTCCCCCCAAATTCTCTTCCACTTTCTCGATCGATAATGGCTCCTTTATCCTTCATGTTCATCTTCAATCCTCCGATTTTCAATTTCTTCTGAAATCGGTTTTGGAGTTGGATTCTTCTTCGTAGCAGAAGAGAGGAATTAATCATGGGATTCAAATCTCTTTTCTGCCGAAAGAAGAAGCCATTCGCCTCCGTCGATTCTCCGCTCGTCTCCGCGTCCTCGACGCTAGGGTCTGGATCTTCATTGGAAGATTCACGGGCTCAGATAGCGGAGCTCGAGGAGGTATTCAAGAAATTCGATGTGAATGGTGATGGAAAGATCTCTTCTTCGGAATTAGGCACGATTTTGGGGAGCCTAGGGCACAACGCTAAGGAGGAAGAGCTCGCGAAGATGATCGAGGAATTTGACGCTGATGGAGACGGATTCATCGATTTGCAGGAGTTCGTGGAGTTAAATACTAAAGAGATCGATCCTGAGGAGCTGTTGGAGAATCTAAGAGAGGCGTTTTCGGTCTACGATATCGATGGAAACGGATCGATCACCGCTGAGGAATTGCACGAGGTTCTGAAGAGTTTGGGGGACGATTGCTCGGTAGAGGATTGTCGACGGATGATCAGTGGCGTCGATAGAAACGGCGACGGAATGATTAGCTTTGAGGAGTTCAAGGTGATGATGATGTCGACGGGACTCTCCGTCGCTGACGGCTGATATTCATCGTCCGCCGGTGGATTTCACGAGGAATGTGCCTATAAATAGCCAGAATTTGGATCTTTTCCCCGTCCTGTTTTCCGACAAAGTATTGCAAGTTCTTCCACTTTTTTTTTTTTTGGGACTTTATCATCAAAATTTTAAAAGAAAAATGAGATGCTGCATGGATTTACTAGCCATATACTATATGCTTTTTAATGTAAACTTTTTATCAACAATTTCATGTTTACTAGAATCTTGCCATTTGATTTCCCGTAGAAAGTTCAGAATATTTATTTGGTTAAATCATCGTATAGTGTTCCAATTTAATTGTACCAGCCCGCATTTTTTACTTATCCTACAAAAAGAACTGGGAACAAAAGCAAATCAATTTATATATAAAAACATCTCATCAAGGAATAAACAGACCAAGGAATTGAGACTACATTCAAATGAGAACTATCTATTTTAATAATAGAATGGTTAACAAATATGAGGGTCATCTTCATGTGCCTAGGAGTTGTCCTCAATATGGGCTGCGACCAAACATGACCTTACAAGAGGGAGTAAATAATGTGGGATGTAAGGAAATCTCGGAGTACACATGTGCCAGATTTGGATTCTAAATTCTTGGATCCTTATCCAAATTTTGGATAGAGACCCTATAGTTCTTAAAGGTGATGGCCCAAGTCAGGGCAATTGACGAGATCACGTGACTCACATCTTAATGCTTGCTAATTCTAAAGGAGTTCTTACACCTAATTTTATTAAGTTTACTTGAGCTTATGCTAGGACTTTCTTACTCTAAATTTCTTACGATATAACTAATTCTAAAGGAGTCTTACACCTAATTTTATTAAGTTTACTTGAGCTTATGCTAGGACTTTCTTACTCTAAATTTCTTACTCTAAACATATATCGTTTACTCTTTGGTGTCACAATATCAAACATAATGGCCACATTAACCGAATCTAGATTTTGAGCTTATCTCACTTATTAGTGTCACAAGACCTTACCCAATAGTTTGGTTAGGTTCATGTAATCTAGCTCCTCTAATCTCATTTCAATCATTAAATTCACACGATCTAGTATCACTGAGTACTCCTAGTTCATCGGTGCCATGTGACCTAGCTCCTCTAAGTGTATCTCAATGTTCGGACTTACTAAGGTTCAACTAATTTAGCTAAGCACTTAATTATTCTCCTATTATCAAATCAAACCACGATAGAGTGAAGTGCAACCACTAGAATAGTCCAACTCTAGAAAATATATGACTCATTTACCAGCTTAATATTACCTTTGTAAGCTACAAATAAATATGAATCAATATTACACCCATTCAAATACTTTCAGAAGTGACAAAGTTGTACCACCAGAGCTGCTGGGAAGAAGCACTGTTTTGTTTGAAGTCAATAAACACCCACAGGAAGTGTCTGTACATTAATTAGCTTGAACTTATTCAAGAAGATTGTTACAAGACGACGAACAAGCAAAATGAAAGGAAGAAAAAGAGAAGGAAAACAAACTGAACTTTCTTCTTCTAAGTACTTTCCCCCCTTTTTTTTTACCCACTATGGCTTCAACGAAAAAACAACACAACCACATGGGTAAAAAAAATGTCCCCTTATACAAAATGAAAAGAATTGCTCAGCCAAAAACTGAGCTCATCTCTTTTATATGCAGCCGTCCCCAACCACACACTAACGAACAAAAGAAAAAAAAGGTGTCTTTTAGACCAAACTCTACTATGATATACAATTTTACAAACTACACAAAATCTGATGCATCACTGAATCCACTGTATATAATGAAGAATATAATCATAACTGTAATTGCCCTAGCCCTCTCCTTGATCTTGAAGGAGGCCTATTAGTCTCTGGTGCTGCAGCTGAGGCTGAGGCAGCGGCTGAGGTTGGGGCCGGGGCTGGGGTTGGGATTGTCCGTCCTGTTTCTTCCGAGTTTTCAACCCCCTACATATTTCAAAAACAATTTCAATACTTCTTTTCTGGGTTGATTATCCAAAATGGAGATTGACAAGTTAAGCATGTTAAGAGAAAAACAAACAGAAATAAGCATATTGTTGATGGAAAGAACTTTGAAAGTAATTATCAAACACAGGCAAAAGGTTTTTTCTTCAATGCGATAAAATGCTATTCCTTGCTTAAACCCACGTTATATAGAGTGGTGGTTTCGAAACATTTTGCAGAAATAAGATACAAGTCATAGTACTTCATGCAGAAACTCACTTTTGTTTATAGTACGCAAAGGTATGATGAATTATATCCAATCCTTTCCAGACCATCATTATAAAAGCTTTTCACTCAATAGAAATGAAAAATTCACTCTGAAACAAAGCTGGTAAATGATAGGAATGGATGCTAGTATAAAGCTAAAGGATTTTGGAAATAATGTGTCAACAAACCGTTGTTGTCATCGAAGGTGGAGTACTGGTCCGTGGCAGTGTCTGCTCCTTTGCACGCAAGCGATGTTCATGCTGCATGTGCTCGAATTGTTGCAGCCTAGCAGCGAAGTTAATCCCATTTCGATAGTTCCCAGCATCCTGGCTTGGATCACCATCTTCATGTATATTCAACCCAGACATCTTGAAGTGCTCGCCACTAAACGAGTACGGAGGCACTGTTTTGAGACGTGTTCGTAGTAACTTAAAGGCGGTACTTTGCTGTGTTTTCATGTCAAACCATAGGTAAACAAAAAAGTCAACTAATGCATCACAAGTGTATTGTCATTCATTAAATAAATGAACATATTGAAGTGGTTAACATAGTTTATTTCTGTTAAAAAAGCTAAGTGGTGATGCATAAAAAAACGAAATCATCATCAAAGCTGTTATCCAAACAAACGATCAACCAAGTGTCCCAATTCCATGTCAACCTATTTTCTTTCTTGAATTTTTCACTGAATGAATTGTGAAGAAAATTGTTTTAATCATAGATATCTGCAATAAAGAGATGAAACGCCTAACACTAGCGCCTCTTTTTTGGGTTTGCACGGTTCGAAGCCTAGCATAAACTTTAACACCTGAAGCTTACAAAGAAAGTTACAATTTTTTTACTTGTTTCAAATATAGCATAAGTGTGCCTATTTCTAATTATATTTTATATTATATTCGAATTGGAGTTTGATTTGGATTGTGCTAGTAAAATTTCAAGTTTTCTACTATATTAAAAAATGCATACTTCTTTTATTCTAATTATGCAAGTGTCTCATAAAACCACGCTTTATCATTATTATAAGTTATGAAAATTGAAAATCCAATAAAGAGCGCACATCTTGCAATTAAGAAAAAGAATATAGAATAAATACTGCTCTTAACAGTAAGACGTGTATCTATTGGGAAAAAAATACATAAGGCAACAACATCATCCCAGCTCAAGAACCAATCCTAGAGTGAAATTGGGACCTTTTCTTTTCACAAAGGATATATTAGCTTGGTTTGGATGTCCATTTTAATGTTTTAGTTTGTTGCCATACCGCACTGTCTGTGCAGTGATCCTACAAATATAGAATTCCTTGGACTATGCTTGGGTATAGGAGTGAGGGATTGTCTTTGTAGTGGGGTGGCAGATATCTACTAGAGAGGTAAGATGGTTGAGGTTGGGCAATGCTTCCTACCAACGAGGCAGACTGGCCTAGTGCAAGGCTACAGGCAAACGTGGGATCGAGCAATTTGAGGAGGATCTTTGGGATGTGATTAGGTTTAAATCATCCTTGGGGCGCCTGCTAAGACACTTCTTTTTTTTTTCTTTTTTTTTTTCTTTTGTAACTATTAGCCTAGTGTGATTTTTTTTAATTAGAGTCCCTTTCTGTATTTGAGCATGAGGGTTGTCTTGTTTTTGGGCTTGTTTTTGACACTGTCCCTGTATATCCCTTTTGGTCTCTTAATATTCCTCTTGGAGCTGAAGATAAGGTGCATGAATGGAGACTGACTTTGGATCATCGAGGCCAAAAGGACAAGGTACATGTTCGTCTGTCTATCCAGTTACAAAAAGCTCACCAAACACGCAGTGTGTGCGGCTCTTGTCCAAGCAGTCATTCCATGGCATTCGAAACTATCCAATAAGCTAGCTCTCAGGATTGGACCCGAGACCCATTCAGTCCTTGAAATTTAAAAGTACAAATATTGTATCCAGGCAAACATCCGGGATCTACATATTCAAAGTCGGATGTCACAAGGTCAAAGTACTGTAGTAATAAAATTTTCAGAATCTTGTGACCAAATTCTATCTTTTTACTGTGCCCAAAGAAACAATGAATACAAGAAAGTCATATCCTCCATATTAATATATAGCAGGAAAAAGTAACACTGGCCTCATTATAAGTTAATATGGGAAAAAGAAAAAGGAGCATCTGAAGATTAACAAGGCATACCTGAGGAAGTAACATTAGAAGACCGTATAATGCTTTTAACAGCCATATATATCTCCCAGGTTCGAGAAGCTGCAAGAATCCCAAAGATATATCCAATTCAAGAAGAAATAAACAAACCCAAGATACCTTACAAAAGAACATCCAATTGGTATGAATGACACGGGAATGTTTATAATCCATTGGTGGTGAGAGTTTTGTAGTGTTCTTCCATCGCATACTTAACTTTTTTCTTAACCACTATTTTTTTTTTTTTTTTTTTTTTTTTTTTTTTTTTTTTTTTTTTTTTTTTTT